AATTAAAAAAAAAAAAAAAAAAAAAAAAAAAAAAAAAAAAAACTCCTGGGCATTCGATTGGTAAGCAGTGGAGAAGATAGAATTAGAGCCTAGTTCTTCTGACCTACAAAAGCAGTGCTGTTACCACTTAGCATACTATATGGCAACATTCAGTTTAATATACATAACTGTTAGTACTTTCTACCTATAATAATTGAATTTAAAAGCTATACCACTATCCTATAAATTTTAAGATCTAACTAAAATACTTCATTTAGTTAGGCTACATTAATGGAAATACATAATGTCTCTTAAAAGGAATATAACAATTAAATTCTACTGTCAAACTTGGAATAGACTATAGTGCTCAATTGTGAGCACCCCATCTTAAGAGTAACTGACAAAAAAAAAAAAAAGTAACTCTGACAAACTAGTGTACATAGAGAGAGAAATAGGCTAACAGATTTGAAGTCAAAACAAGGTTCAACTCAGGGCTGAGTCAACAGATAGAGTGCTTACCCAATGTGCATGAGGCCCTGGGTTTGAGTCCCAGCACCACAGAAAAATAAACAAATCCTTACTCCACTGTGTACAGCTGTGTTACTCTGAGCAACTTTTCCAGATCTCACTTCCTCATCCATAAAATGTGGTAAATAAATGCCACTGCACAGGGTTATTTATGGACTTAATAGTATAACATGTATGATGACATCACAAAAGACAAAATTTAAAGTAACTTTGTTAAATAATAATATCTACATTATTAAAGAATCACCCTTTAGACAGTATTTATGAGTTAAGTCTGAAGAAAATGTATTAAAATGAGGTTTATAATGTGACTAATTACAAGACCTTCTTTCAGTATGAAATCACCAATTACACATAACTCAAAAGTTACTATTTCATAATAAAAGAAATTAAATTTCAACTCACATTCCTTATTCTGGATATGCTCTATTACCAACAGGACCTTGGTCCACACTATCCAGGAAGATCATTTCTTTTTCCCTTCATTGCCTACTTCACTTCTACTTGTCATTTTAAGATTTTGGCTCAAACAACACTCTCTTAGGAAGACTTTTCTGATCATATTGTCAGTTATCACAACATTATACAGTCCCTGCCAAATATGTCATTTTACATGACCTGTGTAGTCATTTCATGTATGTCTACCTGTCCCAGTGCCAAGCATCTATAAAGTTATTAAATAAAATCATGCATGCATACATGTATGCATGTCCAATAGATACTAAATGCACATTAAGTGTAAATTCAAATAAAGATTACAAGTTATAAAAATTTTAAACCAAACCTGTGAATCCAGCACTTTGTGAGGATGAGGCAGGAAGATCAAAAGTTCAAATTCCACCTACTTAACTTAATGAGAAAGTGTCTCTCGAAATAGAAAGGGCTATGGATGTCAGTATAAAAAGCCCTGGGTTCAGTCCCCATTACCACACACACACACACACACACACACACACACACACACACACCCTAGTCCTAAGCATTTCTTCATCTCAGAAATTTACAAAGTAAGATTTTCCAAGACAGGATCACTTTAAAAGCCTAATATGAATTTAAGACCTTGAGATGAAAATATACTGAAAAACATAAAGCAAGCTTAGATAGAGTAAAAGCTAAACTCTTTCTTGTCAGAAGTTAGGCTTTGAAATAACTAAAGCAAAAAAAGCCTACAATCAAAAGAACTCTTTAAAAATCCCTTAATCATTAAATATCATACTACATACATGGTTTTGAACATACAGGCTTATATTAGATTCACCAAATTCTTTCTAAGGAAGCATTTCTAAAGCATCTAAATTTATTTTTTACACATGGTAACAACGCCATCTCTACTCATTTGTACAACCACCTGTATAATTCATTTATCAATGATCTTTTAAAATTATTCACACATTTGTTCACAGGCTAAAACAGAAATGTGCTGACGGGGGTTGTAACCACTATGAGTGTAGAGTTGGGATTCCAAGGCATAGGGTATGATAAAAGAGCATGCAAGTAACACTAAGAATAAAAACTCAGCCCAGAGGTGAAATGGAAATCATGTTACAGGAACATTTATAAGCTAAGACAGCAGCCAATCAAGAAATCTCCGAAAACCCCCATGACCCTGAGGTACATACATCGAAGATGGAGCCTCTCAGGAAAAAGAGGGTTCAAAGATTGAGCTCAACTAAGCTTCTCCCCTCATGACTTTAGGACAGTAAACAGGACAAACCAAGTGTATAGAGCCCACAACAAGAGAAGTAAAAATACAAAAAGTGGAGGTAAGTGGAATGAATATATTAAGAGCCAGAAGACCATAGCAATATGAATCTAACATCTCCACTTCAACTGACTATTCATGCTTTCGTAACTTAAGAATACAGGAATTTTGTGCAATTCTCACAAAAGAAAAACAACCAATAAGCCCCAAACCCTCAGGGATAAATTAATGTTTTATTTTCCTAGTGCAATCAGGAACACAAAATCCATCCAGAGAATGATGACTACTCCAAGGTACACCATTTCAAAAATAAATTTATCGGCCGGGGATTTGGCTCAGTGGTTCCACCACCTGCCTCGCAAGCGCAAAGGCCCGAGTTCGATCCCTGGTACAAAAAAAAAAAAAAAAAAAAACACAATTTAACAGACTTTTAATGATTTTTTAAAAAAAAAAAAAAAAAAAAAAAAAAATCCAATTTAGCAGTACCTTTTAATGACAGTAGAGTTCGTTCTAGTGAACTAAGAACTGCAACTTCATTGCCAGAAGAAACCTGTTGCAGGAATGTGTCCATATGGTGATTCCACAGAGAACAGGCAAAAGTATAAATTCCAGAAGCTAACTGCAAAGAAAGAGCAATGAATGTATTCAAAATATATTACAGATTTAAGGAATAAGCTAGAACTATAAAGTAATAATTTTTGTTTTATAATTCAGCACACATTTTCAGTGAGACTTAAAATAAATCAGAGTATTTATGGCAATGCTTTGTATACTTTTAGCCATAATGCAGAGAATAAGCATACTCTATACCCGTCATGGCAAACCTAAAGCATTCAGGCACAGAGGGCACACAGAGCCCTCGCTGTTGGCATGCAAGCCAAGTTGCCTCAACATTGTCCCAGCAGCCCAGCATTGGATAACAGTGCACAATAGAGCCATGTGCATGCTAGAAAAGGAGTAGTTGCGCCAGGCAATAACTTCTTGAGCCACAACTCATCCCATCTTTCACAGGGCATTCAGTCTCTAAAAGTTTCATCATCACTGCTCTACACCTTCTGTTGCTCTAAACACACACACAAACACACGCTCTTTAAGTACTAGTTTACTGAAATAATATTTAGCCTAATGTCTGCATTTCAGTCTGTTACTTTTCTATTTTTATTTTCCCTCTGTCTTAGTTACTTTTCTTATTGCTGAGACAAAATACCCAATACCCAAAGTTAAAGGAGGAAAAGTTTATTTAGCTCACAGTTTGTAGAGGTTTCAGTTCATAGTCGGCTGGCTCCAAAGCAGGGTAGCATGACAGAGGGGCATCACAGAGGAGAAACAGTTCATGGTAGGCAGAAGGTAGCAAAGCAAAAGCAAGCAAGGGACAACCATAGCTCTATCCCTTATATCTTATCCAGGCTACATAGGGTGGGTACTATGCATATCCTTAATCCCAGTGCCCTTGATCCTAATATTGCACCATGAGTCAATCCCAGGATTAAATATTCTAAATCCAGCCACCTCTGAAGAAGACCCATCTATGACTGCATGAGGCTTTGGGGGTACATCTAGACACAAGGCATAACATTCTACCCCTGCCTCCCAAAGACTCAAGCATATCCCTTTATACAAAAGGCATTTAGTCCATTTATAAGAGATGCCAAAGTCCTAATAGTTTCAGCACTGCTGCAAAGTTCAAGTCCAAAGTCTCCTCCCTCTGAGATTTAAGGCAACTCTTAGCTGCAAGCCCCTGTACAAATGGAAAGAAAGTTAAATACTTCCAACATTCAATGGCACAAGATAGACAATTCCATTCTAAAAGTTACAAACATGGGGATAGCAAGGAATGAGAACAAAGCAAGACCAAAATCCAGTAGGGCAGACATGAAATCCCACAGTTCCACTTTCAGCATCGCCTGCAATCTGTGGCAAGTTGTGAACTCCAAAGGGCTTGAGTGGCTCTGCCACTACAGCACTGCCAGTGGTTGTAGCCCCCATGGCTTCACTCTTGGGCTGGCTCTGCTCCCTCGTTGCAGTTTTCCTCAGACAATCCACATTCCTGGCTTCTCCAGGGTGTCCATTGCACTTTTGGGGCATCTTTGGGGTGTCTCCTGCACCGCACCTTTGGCTTCACACTCAGTTTCACACACTGCCCTCTCAGAGGCACAATGCCTGGCCTCCCACGCCTCCTTCTGAAATCTGGGTGGAAGCCTTCCTGACATTTTGGCTGCTGTGATAGAATGCCTGAATCACTGAGCACTCTGAAACCAATACCGTGGAACAAATTTTCTAGGCTGCCACATGCTGGAACATGGTTCGACCACCACCATTCTGGAACATGGTGCTCTGGGGCTCTTTCCTCAAAGCAAATTCTGTGACGTTTGTAACTCTGCGGCTACAAAGGCTGAGGTCCTACTGGTTTTGTGATGTCCCCGGGCCATCTTTTCTGTTGTCTTCTGAAATATTTGGCTTTTCCTTGATAGTCTTTTCAGTGACCTATTTCTCCTCTGTTCCATCTTTGCAGGCCGCAACTCTACTGGAGCTTCCTTTCTGGCCAAACTCAAATGTCTTGAATCATGCTGCCGGGCTCTTTGCTCTTGATTCTTGACATAGATCTGGCCAAAAACCCCCAAGAGTAGCCATGCCACTTCCCCAATATTAGACTGCCTTGAAATTTCTGCAAGATTAATTAGTTCACTGGACTTAATCTCTACCTCAAGCAAAGTCTTTGGACATGAGCAAAATGCAGACAAACTTTCTACCAAGCCATTAACACAAATTATCTAGAGTTCAATAGCCAACATAGTCCTTTTTCCCAACAGAAACCTACCAAGCATGGTCTTTATCAGAATTTCTATCAGCATTCTGGTCACCTGTGGTCGGCCAGAATTTCCCATCAAGTACAGCCTCAGGAGTTCCAGCTCTACTTTTTCAGCTGGCATCTCCAAACCTTTCCTTACTTTTCCCCTTCCCACAAACCAATTTCAAAGGCTCCTAAATGATGTGGTCAGGTAAAGTCACAGCAATGACTCCACTTCTCTGGTACCAAATTCTGTCCTAATTACTTTTCTTGTTGCTAAGACAAAACACCCAAACCCAAAGCTAAAGGAGAAAAGGTTTATTTAGCTCACAGTTTATAAATGTTTCAGTACTCAACTGGCTCCAAAGCAGGATGAAATGGCAGACAGACACAGCTGAGGAGAAATAGTTCATAGTAGGCAGAAGGTAGCAAAGCAAAAACAAGCAAGGGACGACCACAGCTCTTTCTATCTCTTGTATCTTATCCAGGCTACTAGGGCTGGAGGTACTCACACCCTTAATCCTAGTGTCCTTGATCCTAACATTACACTGTGAATCAATCCCAGTATCACACATTCTAGATCCAGCTACCTCAGAAAAAGTCCCACCTGTGATTGCATGAGGATTTGGAGAGATATCTAGACATAATCCCTAACACCCTCGCCTCACTAGTAGTTGGCAACCTCAATTTAAAAAGCAATGACTCATGTACTGTCACTAAGTATGTCAGATAAACAATACACTACACTGAACTACATACAGTAGACAAAACTGTTGTGTTTTTCCAGTTCGATCTACATGGTTTTTGGGTATTTAAATCCAGGAACATACAAACCATGTGGCTTTTCAGGTTGTGTTCCTAATGTGAACAGGTGTTTAAATACCTGACTCACACACTGAGAAGGCAATAAGCCTTTGCTTCTCAGTGTGAAAGAGAACTAGTGGTATCATCACTTTTTTTCCAGGTCTTACAGCAATCCAGTTGAACCTAGATAATCGTTTAGTTCAAATAAAAATTAAAGTGCATTTGACTAGTTATCAAGTGTGCTTCAAAATACTTTTTCTTATTCAAGAATAGATACAGGTCAGCGATCAAAAACTTCTCAGATACAATCCTACCTTGCAGAACAGTCTTGAAGTGATGGACAGTAAGTTCATGAGCCAGATCCTCATTCTACACTGGCTGTATCTATATGGTTTTGAAGGGAACCTTATGAAATATCTTACCTTTTTTTTCTCTCATTGAGTTTATTGGCACATTTTAGGTATACAGTAGTCACATTTACCATTGGGATCTTGAATCTTTACATGACAGGTCTTGGTTTTCATTTTTTCCCCTTGTCCCTGCCCTCCCTTCACCCCTTCCTCCCCTCCCAATTCCATCCCTTTCTTTTGATCAAGGCTGTGTTTTGCTTTTCTCTACCTACGTGTTTCCTGACTTAGGACCAGCCAGCTGCCTATAGTGCTAACACAATTCCTGGCAGAGCTCTGGCTGTTTTCAAATGCTGCAACTGATCACTCAGTATGTGGTCTGCTCATGGGAGTCTTGCAAAAAAAAAAAAAAAAAAAAAAAAAAAAAGGTCAACTTTCATTTCTATTATTTCCTTTTAGTAATTTTAGTGAATTTTATTTACCAGTTTAAAGAAACAGCTTCCCCATTTCCTCCTCGTGATTTTACAACTATCCACAAAGGACATAAAGACAAACCATATAAGACATAAAGACAAAAAACTTTCATTCAGCCACCTTCAGTCTTAGAAAATACCTTGCAACCCTCCCAGAAGACAAGAGGATGAAAAGCTGTGTTGCACTGTAGCTACAAGACCAACTTTTTTACTTGTTTTCTTATCTCCTCTGTTAGGCGGCCATGAGACAGTTTCTTATCACCTCTTGGGTTCTGAAGGACTATAAAGATCTCTGCTCCATTCCCCTTAAAATAGAGCTGCAGAATATAAAACCATTTAGCTGCATTCTAGAACTGGCTTTACAGCAATGGGCCATCCACAACTCATATTGGACTCATCCATCTCCTATCATTTCAGTGTTTCTGGTATTTGAGACAATAATTATAAAACGCTATAACTTTGGGTCATTTCCTTTCTCTGTCCAAATTAAGTAATAAACTATGTGAATCTAAGTGGCTCACTGTATCTTCATCAATTAAATGTGTCAGGGTTAGGCTCTGGCCCTCCTATGTCTTATATGCACACTTGACAACAGAACAATTACTAGTTATTAAGCCAAATTTGCATATTCTCAAGTATACATGCAATATTTCACCAAGTAAAATCATACTGTTTTAATATAGCCAAAATTTTGTAGTGATCATTCCATCAATCAATATAATTTTTCTTTTTTTTTGGTACTGGGGACTGAACTCGGATCCTTGCACTTGCAAGGCAGGCCACTGAACCACTGAGCTAAATCCCCGGCCTCAATCAATATAATATTATAGGGCTGGGGATTTGGCTCAGTGGTTCCATCTCACATACACACACACACACATCATAACACAAACAGCAGTGTTATTAAAAAGGTCACAGTCTAAAGTACCATCTTCTAAGGAAATAACATTACAAAAAGCAAAAATTCCATTTAATCAAAAGGGAGATAACCTAAATGAGCTTTACTTAAAAATCACAAGTAAACTTTTAACTTCCAAGAAATTGTAAAGTTAGTGTTTTTCTCAGTAACACACACACACATCATAACACAAACAGCAGTGTTATTAAAAAGGTCACAGTCTAAAGTACCATCTTCTAAGGAAATAACATTACAAAAAGCAAAAATTCCATTTAATCAAAAGGGAGATAACCTAAATGAGCTTTACTT